CCCCCTCAATCTTCTTTTCTCTAGACTAAAGAGACCCAAGTCCCTAAGCCTTTCTCCATAGGAGAGATGTTCCAATCCCCTAATCATCTTCGTTGCCCTTTGCTGGACCCTCTCCAGCAGTTCCCTGTCTTTCTTGAACTGGGGAGCCCAGAACTGGATGCAGTACTCCAGATGCGGCCTCACCAGGGCAGAGTAGAGGGGGAGGATGACCTCCCTCGACCTGCTGGCCACACTCTTCTTGATGCACCCCAGGATGCCATTCGCCTTCTTGGCTGCCAGGGCACATTGCTGGCTCGTGGTCATCCTGTTGTCCACCAGGACTCCCAGGTCCCTTTCCACAGAGCTGCTCTCCAGGAGGTCAGCCCCCAACCTGTACTGGTGCGTGGGGTTATTCCTCCCCAGATGCAGCACCCTACACTTGCCCTTGTTTCCGCCGTCACCAAGTAGTCGTGCGTTTCTTCGGCATCTCTAGAGGGGTATTTGAAGCGATGAATGTAGCAAACGCGCGCCCTGATCTACCAGACGTCTAATATTTTCGAGGGTGCCGTTACCTGCCTGTGTGCCTGGCAAAAAAAAACCCAAAAGTCAAGTCTTTGGCGTGTAACCCGGGTTTTCGCTGCTCTCATTTAAACGTGCCGTCGCTTTTTGCTGAATGCTCTGGGTTCCTCTTCTCTTCCACTGGGAAAGATCCAGAGGAAGAGGCGGGTTGGAAACGGGAGATGCCCGTGTCCGAGTTTTGAAGTTCACGAAGCGGCCCGTATTTCTTCTGAACGTTTTCCTGTGGCTTCCCAGGGACGGGCTTATTTCTGCTGGCAAGGAGATACGACCGCTTCCCTCCAGGTGTGATTTGCAGCCTGGGTTCCAGGGAAAACCAGCGTGTTTATAGCCCTTTTTCTCACCGCCCCAGCCTTTGAACTCGGTGGCCTGCTTCAGGCAAACTTACTCAGGGGCTGTGGCCTCAAAGGTGATTCGGTGTCTAAAGTTTGGGTAAAACCAAAGGGGAGCGGAGAGGTTTATCGATAATGCAGGTGAGGAGTGTTCAGCCTGCTTCGTGCCCCCGAAGCTGCTGCCTTGCCTTTCCTCTCCTCGCTCAGTTCCTCCCCTCGTCAGTGACCGGCCCCGAGTTAACCAATACGAACTGGTTTAGTAAAGCCTTACAGCTCTCGCGGGTTGTCAGAACGGTTATCACCAGGTTTACTAACCCCACCTCTTTCCGTTCTCTCTCTTCCACTGCTGTCTGTAACTTCAAGCGAGTTCCGTAAGTATATCATTCGTTGCATGCTTTGTTTTGCTCTTTGTTCTCGTTTCTCCGGCGATCCAGCGCTCGTTAGCATGGGTGGGTTGAAGTCTTCGTTGGGTCTGGGGGAGTTTCGGGCTTTCGAAAAGGACGACCACGTTTTTCCTCGTCACTTTAGTATCGGTTTCTGTTTCCACGTGGAGGTGGGTTGGGGTAGTGCAACACCGTATGGTTTTTTGGTTATTCTATTCATTGATTCCTCTGGTTTGTGCTCTTCAAGCATCTTTCCCAGAAGAGTAAGGGGAGTAGTTGTTAGGGGAGGATTTACGATTCTCCGTATTGATCCATAAAGTCGAACCGAATCATCAGCGTCTAGTTTAATGGCTTGCTCCAGAAACCGGAGTTTCAGCTGACTCTAATCCTCTTGTTAACTCAATTTCTCCTTGCAGTTCCGGAAGCTCCCGACCGACCCACCATCTCCACGGCTTCGGAATCGTCCGTCTACGTCACGTGGATCCCACGAGCCAACGGCGGCTCCCCCATCACTGCCTTCAAAGTGGAGTATAAACGCCTGGGTCGAAACAGCGACTGGCTAATTGCAGCTGATAACATTTCTCCTTCCAAGCTCTCCGTGGAAGTTCGCAACTTGGACCCAGGTATTCAAAATGATCTTCCCTTCCCCTCCGCTGTTGTCACCGTTGTCTTTGCTTAGATGGTTCTGCTCCTGCTGAGAGAGTACCGCAGCTCTTCGGGTGTTTCATTTGAACTTCTGCTTGGATGATCCTGTTTCTGCTCGGTTAGGTTTCGCGTGGGTTTTTTTGTGCGTGTGTGGAATAGGAGCTCGTTACATGGATTCAAGTTGCTTTCTGGCTTTCCAAGCGGAAAAAAAAGAAAAAAAACACCACCATAATTTAATACTTGTTCACATGGAGAGGAGGGTTGTGTGTTGTTGCTATTTTTAACTTAATTGACCTTCTAGTAAGCGCTCAGAATGCAAAAAGAGAGTTTTTTTACATAACCCTTTTGTAAGTAAAGAGTAACAAGATTTCATGTAAATTCAGGAATTTCCAATTGTAAAAAAACAAAAAAAAACACCACCATAATTTAATACTTGTTCACATGGAGAGGAGGGTTGTGTGTTGTTGCTATTTTTAACTTAATTGACCTTCTAGTAAGCGCTCAGAATGCAAAAAGAGAAACATGCATTAATGGAAAAACATCTGTCCTGATTTCTCCCCGAGTTCAGTCCTGAAAGCTCGGGGAAAGAGCGGGAGAGTAGGGGGAACGGGCGAGGAAAGGTGTCATCGAGGCATCTTCTCAGTGCCCACCCGTTTCCTGAGCTGATGGAGGTATCTCCATCTCTGTGTGTAATAACCTTTGGGTTTTTCTGGAGTGAATTTCCCTCGGCGCTTTCAGAAGCTGTTTGTATTTCTGCCGTCCGCCTGAGTCCGGGGCAACGAGTCCTACGGTTTTTCTAACTGGATGTTGTGCGTGAAGTACTTCCTAATCTGTTTGGTCTCTCCTTGAGTCCCGTTTCTACTCCTTGTTTTGCTACAATGTCGTCTTTCTTTCCCTTTTTTCCCCCCCCTTAAAAGGAGAAATGTACCGGTTCCGTGTGATCGCTGTGAACAATTACGGGGAGAGCCCACGCAGCGCAGCATCTCGCCCTTACCAAGTGGCCGGATTCACCAGCCGGTTTTCCAACCGCCCCATCACCGGACCTCACATTGCTTATACCGAAGCCGTCAGCGACACTCAGATCATGTTAAAATGGACGGTGGGTATAATCGTCTCCTGTTCTCGCAGTTGCAGGCCAGTTTGTACGGTTTGGGCGCTTAAAAGCTCAGGATTAAAAGCCCATTGCAGAGCCGCGAGTGGCGGTTTCGTGTGTGTGTGTGTGTGTCCCCCCAGCCACAGAATCAGCGCGGGGCGCGTTGTTGTGTGTGTGTGTGTGTGTGTGTGTGTGTGTGTGTGTCCCGAGACACAGAATCGCAGAATCACAGAATCGATCGATCACAGAATCAGAGAATCACTCACTCAGAGTATCAGAGAATCACTCACTCGCAGAATCGCAGAGTCGACCCCCGAGTCGACCCCCGAGTCGACCAATGAATGGATCCCCGAGTCGACCCCCGGGTCGATCACTGAATGGATCCCCGAGTCGATCCCTGAATCACCGAATCAGAGAATCGGTCGCTGAATCACCGAATCGATCACGGAATCACGGAATCGATCGTGGAATCGATCACTGCATCACTGAATCCCAGAATCGATCACGGAATCACGGAATCGATCGTGGAATCGATCACTGCATCACTGAATCCCAGAATCGATCACGGAATCACGGAATCGATCGTGGAATCGATCACTGCATCACTGAATCCCAGAATCGATTGCAGAATCCCAGAATCGATCGATCCCAGAATCGATTGCAGAATCCCAGAATCGATCGATCCCAGAATCGATTGCAGAATCCCAGAATCGATCGATCCCAGAATCGATTGCAGAATCCCAGAATCGATCGATCCCAGAATCGATTGCAGAATCCCAGAATCGATCGATCCCAGAATCGATTGCAGAATCCCAGAATCGATCGATCCCAGAATCGATTGCAGAATCCCAGAATCGATCGATCCCAGAATCGATTGCAGAATCCCAGAATCGATCGATCCCAGAATCGATTGCAGAATCCCAGAATCGATCGATCCCAGAATCGATTGCAGAATCCCAGAATCGATCGATCCCAGAATCGATTGCAGAATCCCAGAATCGATCGATCCCAGAATCGATTGCAGAATCCCAGAATCGATCGATCCCAGAATCGATTGCAGAATCCCAGAATCGATCGATCCCAGAATCGATTGCAGAATCCCAGAATCGATCGATCCCAGAATCGATTGCAGAATCCCAGAATCGATCGATCCCAGAATCGATTGCAGAATCCCAGAATCGATCGATCCCAGAATCGATTGCAGAATCCCAGAATCGATCGATCCCAGAATCGATTGCAGAATCCCAGAATCGATCGATCCCAGAATCGATTGCAGAATCCCAGAATCGATCGATCCCAGAATCGATTGCAGAATCCCAGAATCGATCGATCCCAGAATCGATTGCAGAATCCCAGAATCGATCGATCCCAGAATCGATTGCAGAATCCCAGAATCGATCGATCCCAGAATCGATTGCAGAATCCCAGAATCGATCGATCCCAGAATCGATTGCAGAATCCCAGAATCGATCGATCCCAGAATCGATTGCAGAATCCCAGAATCGATCGATCCCAGAATCGATTGCAGAATCCCAGAATCGATCGATCCCAGAATCGATTGCAGAATCCCAGAATCGATCGATCCCAGAATCGATTGCAGAATCCCAGAATCGATCGATCCCAGAATCGATTGCAGAATCCCAGAATCGATCGATCCCAGAATCGATTGCAGAATCCCAGAATCGATCGATCCCAGAATCGATTGCAGAATCCCAGAATCGATCGATCCCAGAATCGATTGCAGAATCCCAGAATCGATCGATCCCAGAATCGATTGCAGAATCCCAGAATCGATCGATCCCAGAATCGATTGCAGAATCCCAGAATCGATCGATCCCAGAATCGATTGCAGAATCCCAGAATCGATCGATCCCAGAATCGATTGCAGAATCCCAGAATCGATCGATCCCAGAATCGATTGCAGAATCCCAGAATCGATCGATCCCAGAATCGATTGCAGAATCCCAGAATCGATCGATCCCAGAATCGATTGCAGAATCCCAGAATCGATCGATCCCAGAATCGATTGCAGAATCCCAGAATCGATCGATCCCAGAATCGATTGCAGAATCCCAGAATCGATCGATCCCAGAATCGATTGCAGAATCCCAGAATCGATCGATCCCAGAATCGATTGCAGAATCCCAGAATCGATCGATCCCAGAATCGATTGCAGAATCCCAGAATCGATCGATCCCAGAATCGATTGCAGAATCCCAGAATCGATCGATCCCAGAATCGATTGCAGAATCCCAGAATCGATCGATCCCAGAATCGATTGCAGAATCCCAGAATCGATCGATCCCAGAATCGATTGCAGAATCCCAGAATCGATCGATCCCAGAATCGATTGCAGAATCCCAGAATCGATCGATCCCAGAATCGATTGCAGAATCCCAGAATCGATCGATCCCAGAATCGATTGCAGAATCCCAGAATCGATCGATCCCAGAATCGATTGCAGAATCCCAGAATCGATCGATCCCAGAATCGATTGCAGAATCCCAGAATCGATCGATCCCAGAATCGATTGCAGAATCCCAGAATCGATCGATCCCAGAATCGATTGCAGAATCCCAGAATCGATCGATCCCAGAATCGATTGCAGAATCCCAGAATCGATCGATCCCAGAATCGATTGCAGAATCCCAGAATCGATCGATCCCAGAATCGATTGCAGAATCCCAGAATCGATCGATCCCAGAATCGATTGCAGAATCCCAGAATCGATCGATCCCAGAATCGATTGCAGAATCCCAGAATCGATCGATCCCAGAATCGATTGCAGAATCCCAGAATCGATCGATCCCAGAATCGATTGCAGAATCCCAGAATCGATCGATCCCAGAATCGATTGCAGAATCCCAGAATCGATCGATCCCAGAATCGATTGCAGAATCCCAGAATCGATCGATCCCAGAATCGATTGCAGAATCCCAGAATCGATCGATCCCAGAATCGATTGCAGAATCCCAGAATCGATCGATCCCAGAATCGATTGCAGAATCCCAGAATCGATCGATCCCAGAATCGATTGCAGAATCCCAGAATCGATCGATCCCAGAATCGATTGCAGAATCCCAGAATCGATCGATCCCAGAATCGATTGCAGAATCCCAGAATCGATCGATCCCAGAATCGATTGCAGAATCCCAGAATCGATCGATCCCAGAATCGATTGCAGAATCCCAGAATCGATCGATCCCAGAATCGATTGCAGAATCCCAGAATCGATCGATCCCAGAATCGATTGCAGAATCCCAGAATCGATCGATCCCAGAATCGATTGCAGAATCCCAGAATCGATCGATCCCAGAATCGATTGCAGAATCCCAGAATCGATCGATCCCAGAATCGATTGCAGAATCCCAGAATCGATCGATCCCAGAATCGATTGCAGAATCCCAGAATCGATCGATCCCAGAATCGATTGCAGAATCCCAGAATCGATCGATCCCAGAATCGATTGCAGAATCCCAGAATCGATCGATCCCAGAATCGATTGCAGAATCCCAGAATCGATCGATCCCAGAATCGATTGCAGAATCCCAGAATCGATCGATCCCAGAATCGATTGCAGATGGAATCGATCACTGCATCACTGAATCCCAGAATCGATTGCAGAATCCCAGAATCGATCGATCCCAGAATCGATTGCAGAATCCCAGAATCGATCGATCCCTGAATCAGAGAATAGGCCCCAGAATCGC